AAAAAAAATAATTTTTTTTTCATTTTTTATGGCTAAAACGCAATGTTCAAAAGGCGCGCAAAAAAAAAAAAAAAAAAAAAAATTAATTAAAGCACACTAAATGATTTTTGAAAAAGGAACTGCGTTATTTGAATACATGTTTTATCAAGCAATTTTATAAGATGATAAGGTAACACACTGCCACCGCCATTGCTTAATGGGTTATTATATAAAAACAATAAACCGATGAGTGCCGATATGAAGGCTTGGATGTGTAGTGGGAGAGAACTCCATTGTTTGGGGCACAGACAGAGAAAGATCGTTCACCATATGTTTTACTGCGTGTCTTGGGAACAGAAAGAATACGTGTGTCTGCGGAGGCACGACGCCGTCGAAGGGGTGAATAGTAAAGTAATATAATAAGGTCATGTTTTTTTTCTTCTTAATTCACATATTTAAAGGTTTAATATGTTATACAATTTGTCTACCCAGTACATAAATAATAATGTGATATGTTGAAGGATGTCTCTTCCATTACATATTATGGTTCCCCTAGCCTGCTCACCAGGTGACTCACTGTTGTGTTTTTTATATTCAAACGATGCCGCTACAAAAATACCAAAGGTTTATCACCGGTCATACTGACCCTTTTCAACACAATTTTAATTCTGATGGCATTTTCTTTGGCATATTTCAATTAGGCAAAGTAAGCAGGTCAGTATGACCTCGTTCGTTGAACTGTTAGAATCTTTCTTTGGTTACTTTACCTTATAGCATTAATCTATAACCAGTGGCATCCTAGCATAAAGTCACCTATGACATTAATCTATAACCAGTGAAATCCTAGCATAAAGTCACCTATAACATTAATCTATAACCAGTGGCATCCTAACATAAAGTCACCTATAACATTAATCTATAACGAGTGGCATCCTAGCATAAAGTTACCTATAACATTAATCTATAACCAGTGGCATCCTAGCATAAAGTCACCTATCACATTAATCTATAACCAGTGGCATCCTAGCATAAATTTACCTATAACATCAATCTATAACCAGTGGCATCCTAGCATAAAGTCACCTATAACATTAATCTATAACCAGTGGCATCCTATCATAAAGTTACCTATAACATTAATCTATAACGAGTGGCATCCTAGCATAAAGTCACCTATAACATTAATCTATAACCAGTGGCATCGTAGCATAAAGTCACCTATAACATTAATCTATAACCAGTGGCATCCTAGCATAAAGTCACCTATAAAAATAATCTATAACCAGTGGCATCCTAGCATAAAGTCACCTATAACATTAATCTATAACGAGTGGCATCCTAGCATAAAGTCAGCTATCACATTAATCTATAACCAGTGGCATCCTAGCATAAAGTCACCTATAAAATTAATCTATAACCAGTGGCATCCTAGCATAAAGTCACCTATAAAATTAATCTATAACCATTGGCATCCTAGCATAAAGTCACTTATAACATTAATCTATAACGAGTGGCATCCTAGCATAAAGTCAGCTATCACATTAATCTATAACCAGTGGCATCCTAGCATAAAGTCACCTATAAAATTAATCTATAACCACTGGCATCCTAGCATAAAGTCACCTATAACATTAATCTATAACCAGTGGCATCCTAGCATAAAGTCACCTATAAATTGATGTGAACAACGGACAATCACGTGGCGTCCTCTCGAGAGGATGCCAACTATTCGGGAGGAATCATCCTGGGCATTATTTAGTACAGTTTTTCCCAAATTGGGACCTACGGCCCTCAGGGGAGGGGGGCAATGTAATTGTGGGAGTGGGAGTAATTCCAAAATTACCTGTCTAAAATTTGAAAACCAACCATCTTGAGGCGGATTTGAAGGCCAAATATAGTTGACATATTATTTTTAAATTTAAATTAAATTCAAACATTATATAAACTTTTTGGAAAATGAATAAACGTAAAGTCTCTAATCTATTTGCTACTCATACTGCATTTATTTGCTACTCATACTGCATTTATTTGCTACTCATACTGCAACTATTTACTACTCATACTGCAACTATTTAATACTCATACTGCAACTATTTGCTACTCATACTGCAACTATTTACTACTCATATTGCAAATATTTGCTACTCATACTGCAACTAGTTGATACTCATACTGCAACTATTTGCTACTCATACTGCAACTATTTGCTACTCATACTGCAACTATTTGCTACTCATACTGCAACTATTTGCTACTCATACTGCAACTATTTGCTACTTATACTGCAACTATTTGCTACTCATACTGCAACTATTTGCTATTCATACTGCAACTATTTGCTACTCATACTGCAACTATTTGCTACTCATATTGCAACTATTTGCTACTCATACTGCATTTATTTGCTACTCATACTGCAACTATTTGCTACTCATACTGCAACTATTTGCTACTCATACTGCAACTATTTACTACTCATATTGCAACTATTTGCTACTCATACTGCAACTATTTACTACTCATATTGCAACTATTTGCTACTCATACTGCAACTATTTACTACTCATACTGCAACTATTTGCTACTCATACTGCAACTATTTACTACTCATACTGCAACTATTTACTACTCATACTGCAACTATTTACTATTCATATTGCAACTATTTGCTACTCATACTGCAACTATTTACTACTCATATTGCAACTATTTACTACTCATACTGCACTATTTGGTACTCATACTGCAACTATTTGCTACTCATACTGCAACTATTTGCTACTCATACTGCAACTATTTGCTACTCATACTGCAACTATTTGCTACTCATACTGCAACTATTTGCTACTCATACTGCAACTATTTACTACTCATACTGCAACTATTTGCTATTCATACTGCAACTATTTGCTACTCATACTGCAACTATTTACTATTCATACTGCAACTATTTACAACTCATACTGCAACTATTTGCTACTCATACTGCAACTATTTACTACTCATAATGCAACTATTTGCTACTCATACTGCAACTATTTGCTACTCATACTGCAACTATTTACTACTCATACTGCAACTATTTGCTACTCATACTGCAACTATTTGCTACTTATATTGCAACTATTTGCTACTCATACTGCAACTATTTGCTACTCATACTGCAACTATTTGCTAACATACTGCATTTATTTGCTACTCATATTGCAACTATTTGCTACTCATACTGCAACTATTTGCTACTCATACTGCAACTATTTGCTACTCATACTGCAACTATTTACTACTCATATTGCACCTATTTGCTACACATACTGCAACTATTTACTACTCATATTGCAACTATTTGCTACTCATACTGCAACTATTTACTACTCATATTGCAACTATTTGCTACTCATACTGCAACTATTTACTACTCATACTGCAACTATTTGCTACTCATACTGCAACTATTTGCTACTCATACTGCAACTATTTACTACTCATACTGCAACTATTTGCTATTCATACTGCAACTATTTGCTACTCATACTGCAACTATTTGCTACTCATACTGCAACTATTTGCTAATCATACTGCAACTATTTGCTAATCATAATGCAACTATTTGCTACTCATACTGCAACTATTTGCTACTCATACTGCAACTATTTGCTACTCATACTGCTACTATTTGCTACTCATACTGCAACTATTTGCTACTCATACTGCAACTATTTACTACTCATACTGCAATTATTTGCTACTCATACTGCATTTATTTGCTACTCATACTGCAACTATTTACTACTCATATTGCAACTATTTGCTACTCATACTGCATTATTTGCTTCTCATACTGCAACTATTTGCTACTCATACTGCATTTATTTGCTACTCATACTGCAACTATTTACTACTCATACTGCAACCATTTGCTACTCATATTGCATTTATTTGCTACTCATACTGCAACTATTTACTACTCATACTGCATTTATTTGCTACTCATACTGCAACTATTTACTACTCATATTGCAACTATTTGCTACTCATACTGCAACTATTTACTGCTCATATTGCAACTATGTGCTACTC